GAGGGGCGAATTAAGTACAAAAAATAAAAGTAATAATTCCCTTATTCACACTCAGGTCCACAGGAAAGCCAACCTTGGCTGTTCCTCATGGTCTGCTTCATTCTATTCTAGCATCCTGGAGCCTCAGGGGCTGGGCTCAGCATTAGCTTTTCTGGTCCATCTTGACTTCTATTCATGCCTACTCTTTCTCCACCTCACTCCCAAGGTTCTCTAATGGTCTTGCTGTTATGTGTGTGTGTTTATGACAAACTGTGTTCTCCATTTCAGGACAAAGTCAAGATGAAACTCCCCCTTCTTCTGGCTCTTCTATTTGGGGCAGTTTCAGCCCTTCCTCTAAGTAAGTCTCTTTGGTTTTCAGTCTTTCTTTCTCTCCTTTGCTCCTTTCTACATTACATAAGGTGAGAGTCACAAAGTCACCTCCTTCTCCGGCTATCCCCTATTTCAGGATCTCTGCCTTTAAAGGAGCAGGGTCTCTAGAGCCTGGAGTTAAAGGGACTCTTCAGGGCATCTGTATATCTGCAGTCTTGGTTATAGTATGATATTCTCAGTTTTGTCCTTTCTTCATAATGTTAACGATGATCAGAATAATGACTTCCTTTTACTTTGAGCTCACTGAGTGCACTATGCTAAACATTTTCTATGCATCATCTCCTTTAATCCTTATACCATCTCCATGAGCTCCCCTTGGGGGCTTGCCCACTTGTACACCCATATCACAAATAAAGTAAAGCTAGTAGACGATGGAATCGGTACTCAAACCCACAACCCCTTGACGCTAAGACCTTGCTCTTAACACCATGACCTCATGTGGGAGGCTGGGTTCTCCTCAGGGAGCCTTGTTTCAAGTTCCTCTCTTTCCAAGGCTGAGCCCTCAGATGCCTAGGGCAAGGTGGGAACTGTCCATGGTTCTGTGGAGGCAGGGAGAGTGATGTGAAGGAGGAGCACTTAGTCATTCTCTCTGTCAGGGATTGAAACATCCAACTTTGAGAGCCCCTTGGGAGATGACACCCTGCCTCAGGATGGGGAGATGCCAGAACATGGGGCAATGTATGCTCCTACGGAGGGAATGATGCTGCCAGAGGGAGAGGAGGAGGGGGGCTCTGGAAGCGAAGATGACCCCGAGGAAGAGGGGCTCATCAAGTCTGTCTCAGCCCTAGAAGAGGTGGACAAAGACTTTCAGTGCCCTAATGAAGAGGATACAATCAAACTGGAAGGCATCCCTGGATGCAAGACCTCCCGATTTATTGTGGTGATGACAGCCAGGATGTTTCATCAAGCTCAGGTGAGTGGCCTGTGGCTGAGACTGAGGCCTGGGGTGGGGAGAAGGGCATGGAGGGGATGTCTCTGGCCTCTGTGTCTCTGCTTATTTTCCTCACTGAGGACCCTGGGGGTGTCAGCATGGGCTGAGGCCCTCAGAGGTGTTAGAGGTGGGTAAGGGGGATAGAGTTGTGGATCATGTGGAAACAGAAGTTATGTTTTGATCTCCAGTTTTCAAATGGCTGTGGGGTTGGGTGTGGAGTGGGGTGATGAATTGTGGAGACTTCGAGACCCAGGGCTAAGGTTGTATGAATTTCTGTGGGAGGGGCGCTTCATTTTCCTCTTTTGTCCTGGCTTGCAGGATACTTGCCGGAGTTGCTACTGGGGCAACCTCGCCTCCATCCATAGCCTCAACTCTAACTACCACATCCATTGCTTAGCCAGTGTTGTCTACCAGAGTTATGTCTGGATCGGAGGTGCAGTCACGGGCTGGGTAAGACGTGTCCCAGCTCTAAGGGAGCCCCTCCTGACCCAAGTCAGTGCACAACTTCCTGCAGGTTTCTGTGTGCTTCTGCTCTATGATCCCCTGAAGAACTGGGGATAAACGGACACCTGGGCAAGACATCAAAGGGGCTGCCTAGGTATCAGGAAGAGCCAAGAATTTAGAACGAGGAGGTTTGGATTCAAGTTCTGCTCAGCCTCTGACTGTCTGTATGAGTTGGGCAGGACTGTGAGCCTGGTTCCTAAATTCTAGGATGTGGTTGAAACTCCTGTCCCACCTCTTGTTAGGGCAAGAAGGATGAATCCACCACAGGGATGCATGGGATGTGATGGTGATGATCACTGTGGATCAACATTTCAGTTGACCAGAACAGTGTCCATCATGGTCCAATAGTCAAGGAAAATACTTGGCAGACAGCAGGAGGACCAGACAGGGAAAGTGCCAGCTCTGCCTACCTGTCTTCCTTTTGCCTCAGGCTCCAACCCACCTTCTCCCTCCTCTATCCTCTAGGGTGGCTCCAGGAGCTTTTATTGGATGGATGGCAGTGCCTTGGATTTTTGGTTCTGGGCTGCTGGCGAGCCTTTGGTCTCTGGTGGCAGCTGTGTGTCCCAAGGTGAGGTGGGAGTGGGGATGAAATCTGAAAAGGCCTGGGGAGGTGGGATGGGCTCCCAGAGGAGTTGCGAGGAAGAGCTGGACCCTTTAAGGGAGACGCCTCCTGAATCTACAGACTTCATCTCCACTGAAGTGTGGGGTGGGGTGGGGAGTGAAGACTCCTGGGGCTGAGTCAGGGGAAACAAGAGGCTGAAGGCCCCTTCTGGTTCTGCCTTCACAGGTCACTGGAGACTATCTCATTGCATCACAGCCCTCCCTTTTGTCTGTTCCTTCTGAGTGGGATCCAGTCAAGACTTCAGAGCTGCCCTCTCTTAAGACACTGCCTCCTTTCCCCTGCCTGCCTCCCCTACCTTTACCCTCAGCAGTAAAATTGCTTTCCTTAAATTGATTTATTTTTCCTCTGATCATTGATCCACTCGGCTTAGCCCCACTCATGAACTTTGTGTCCTACAGTGACTCCCTACTCCGCTGTCTGTCGTGAAAGGGACCAGACGTTATTACTCTCAAGGAGGATGAAACATGGGATGGGGTCTGTGCGGCCGTCCTGGAGACAGAGGAATGGGCTCAGCTAGCTCTTTTCATACAATGCCAAATTACCGGGCACCCAGGTACAGGTTCTGCCAGGACCCCATCCGTCTCTCTTGAAGCTTTCCCGGTGGACCATCAATGTCCTACAGACTGTGGTTACCTTAATGTGCTAAGAAATTAACATGTCCCAGGTACAGCCGGCAACTCTCAGGAGTGGGTATCTGAGCACCCCAGTCCCTCGGGTGGAATAATTCTAAGGCATGTCCTGGGCACCATGTCCCAGGGGAATTAACTTCCAGTTACTCATGGAGGTAGCTGTCTTTACAACACATATTTTCTTGTGAATTATTCCCTTTGCTACTAGTACCCTTGCACCTCCCAAATAAATTGGCACACAAGTCCTTGTCTCAGGGTCTTCTCCTTGGGAAACCCAATATCAGACAACCTGCTCTATGGTCAACTCTGTAAGGCCTGGGAATATGTTAGGACACAGCCCCACTGTTCGGGAACATACAGTTGTTTATAATATAAGCACAACAATATCCACTAATTTTTGCCACTTATTACACACCCACAGTGTACCATACTTGACAAAATGCATGTTACACATCCACAAAGAACGTTGTAAAAAATGAAAATAATGACGTAAGGGCATTGGCCTTACATTTCAAAATACGGGTTTCTGTGTGCATTTTCTTTCTCCAACAAGACATTCACTAAGCTCTGTGAAAGGAAGATGGCATGTGCACAGTGGAATCTGTGGAGCTCCTCACAGCGTGCAGAGCGCAGAGCCGAATCTACACTCAGGGCTTGTGTGTTGATCAGGGTCAGAGTTGTAGCCCTGGTTTCCTGACAAGGGCCACTCCCAACACTATCCGACAGGGACAGTTCTGAGAGCTGTACTGAAGCTGATCTCATTAGAGGTAGGTTGAGGCATTAGCCTCAGTTTACGGATGAGAAGACTGAGACACAGAGGGCTGACTCTGGGACTTGTGATTTCATTATACATCACACAACACTGCCTCTCAAGATGGCAAGACACACCCTCTGCATAATGTGGGGGTGGACAGACTCTCAGGAGGCAGAGTTCGAAAACCCTATGAACATAAATGCCAACAACAAGCCAGAGACTTGGAACTTGACAGATGTTGAAAATGTTAACACCATTGGCTAGCGTGTCTGGAGGTAGCAATTTGGGTGTGTCAAAAAAAGCGAGGACTTGGGAGTCAGACAGAGTAGGGTCAACAAGTCACTTCTTATGAGTTGTGTAGACTTGGGCAAGTCATTCAACCTCTCTGAGCTTTTGTGGTAGATATATAGGCTAGAGATGGTAATACCAGATTGTAGGTGATTTTAGTGACTAAGTAGGATAATGGATGTAAAAGCCTGAATGAAGCATAATATGCGGCCCATGGTAGACCTTTAAAAATGTTATTTCCAGTTTTAAATTAGATAGGCAACACTGTGTTGACTGAGCAAGTCATTGGAATGACTTTTTCCAGGTTTCATATGCAAAGAAAACTGGGTCAATGCAGAGGAGGAGCAGGTTGTGGAGAAGGGAGGTGAGTGAGAGGAGGCAGAGGGAAGGCAGTCGTGAGTGCATAAGGAGGCTGTCTCTGGTTTAGAACTGTCTCTGACTTGCTGTGTGATCTTGGGCACCTGTTTAAGTGCTCTGAGATGTTGTTTCGTCATCTGTGAAATATGGACGTTGAAATGAAACAACACGTGCAAAGCTTGTCATGCTGCTGGTTCACGAGAGTAGTTGACCTTATTGGTCAACCCAACCACTCAGTGAAATGATGCCCCTGGCCTGGACCCCAAGAGGGGGGAGAACAATAAGGAGGAAGTCTAGTCCTCTATCCCCTCCTCCACTAAGAGATCTGAAGTTGGAAACCTAGAGACCAGGGTTTGGGGGCCCTGGAATTGGCCAATCCCCTCAGTCAGCTAGATAAGCTGAGGGTCTGGTCCGTTGGGCTGGGGAGATAACAGCCAGGACGGTTACCCTGCAATCAGGCCAAGAAGTGACCTCTCTGATACTTCTCCATTTGTAGGTCCCCTGGGAGAGCAGAAGAGAGGAAGGAATCCAGGCCTTTTCACCCTCTGAGTTACCTGTTCCTGGTGCCCTGAGAACTGGGGTCTGGGCTGGAATCTGAGGAAAACCAGGAGGTCACAGAGTTGAGTCCTCCATCCCAACAAGTCCACTAGCTCTTGGCAGTGATATCCAGGTAAGTCACTGTTTAGCACTTGCTAGTCTCTCCTTGGACTGCACTGAATTTGGCTGGAGCTTGGTTGATGAAAGCTGGGTTTGATATTTTTGCATTTTTTTTGACTTTTAAGAAAGATTGCATTGAAATATTATTTGCCTTGACTACTGAATTCTGTAGTGTTCCCTTCAATCTTGCACTCGAGACGAATGCATCACTCACTTCCCCCTATTCCGGACCCTGTGGTGGCAGATGGCGGGAGGGAGATGGAGAGTGGGGTGGGGTGGGGAAGCTGGTCCACCAATGTTTGAAGGACTCTGCATGAAGCTTTCCATTCAAGCTGTTGCCGCCTTGCCAGAAGATACGAGCTGAGTTTGGACAAAATGTCATATTCTAGATAGTGATACTCAACTGGGGCCATTTTGCTCCCCAGAGGACAGTTGGAAATGCATGGAGACAATTTTGATAGTGATGACTGGGAGAGGTGTTATTGGCATCTAATAGGTAGAGACTGGGGATGCTGCTAAACTTCTTACAATTTACAGGGTAGCCCCCGACAACAAAGAATGGACTCCAAATAGTAAGAGTGCAAAGGTTGAGCATCTTGATCTAGATCCTCAGTGCAGAAGAAAGAGCATAGGTCTTTCACACATTAAAGGTGAGAAAGGGAGGGAGAGGGACAAGGAGAGTTAGGAAAGGAGGGAGGGAGGGGAGTCAGAGAGACAGAGGTTGTAGAGCCAAAAAGACTTCGAAATCCTGGTTCACCCACTTCCAGTGAAATCTTGTCCAGTCACTTTCCCTCTTTGAATCTCACTTTTCATGTCTGTGAAGTAGGGATAGTCATACATTTTCAAGGGAATGAGATGAAAGTGAAGTTTCAGGGACGCGATGCATATAAAGGACTTGTTCTAGATAAGGGCCAAGGGGCACTGAGGCTCCCTTCACTTCCTCCCTCCTCCTCTCATGGTCTCCCGGATCCCTGGATGCTCCACTCCATTTGTTGGGATATTGACCAAAGGGAGGCTGCTCCTGGGGTTAAGGAGCATTGTTCAGGCCGGGGCCCTTTAGGGGCACTAATAATAACTTTGCCTCGACAATAGACATCTGGGGTCTTCTCAATCACACCAGGGTGGATGCGTACCCACATATGGCAGTAGACCCCAGTAGAGAGCAGGGCTCATGGGGGAGAGGATTGAGCAAACTCCTGATCAGCTCCAATGCCCCACACCCCACACTGAGTCTCTTCCCACTTCCCCAAAAGCCCAGTATAAGGGCTGCCTCTGGGGCCCAGCAGCCAGAGACGCTGAGACCAGAGCCTCAGACTCTCAGGAGGTGAGTGCTCCCCTGGCTGCCCATGGAGGAGAGGTCCAGGGCTTGGGAGGAAGCAGAACCCTATCTGGCAAACACCTCAGAGGTCTGTCCTTCAGAGCCTAATGGCTACACTTCTTCCTTTTCTTCTCCACTGTGAGTGAAATAGGCCCTGGACCTGAGCAGACCTGTTCCTCCAGGGTCTGGGCTAAGTGTTGTTCCAGTGAGCAGTGATGGAGTTCTCAGGAAAGAGGGGACTTTTCACCTTGAGCCAACACCCCCACGTCCTTTCCCTGATTCTCCAGCTCAGGGTCTGTTCACTGGACGAGAAGCAAGCTCTCTAGATTGCTCTTTAATAAACCAGTTAAACAAACTCTTCTTCTTTGCCGTGTGCCAGGGGCTGTGCAGACACACTGGACATCCCAGGGAGGCAAGGTGGAGCTGTGTCCCTGTCACAAGACTGAGCAGATATGAAATGCCCTCTGCTCCTGCCCCTTCTCCTGCTGGGGACAGTTGCTGCTCTTCATCTGGGTAAGTCCTCCCCTTCTCGTCTCGTCTATATTTCTCTTTTCTCCTCTTTTCTGCACCCTTTTTGCACTGGTGGGGCCGAGGCCACAGCCTCCCCTCTTCAGTTGACCTAGCTCATCTCTGTTAAGATTTCTCCTGGACTCACAACTGTGACCTGAACTTTCTATCAGGGCTCCTTCACAAGGAAAAACCACCCACTCGTGTAGGTGAAGGGCTTCCCACAGGTGAATTCTCCCAACTCAAAATACATACCTGTGGTGTCAGCTAGAAGTCAGGTTCTCATCCCTTTGTGCATATGACCCAAGAGTTCTTGCCTCACTCAACACCTTGGAGATCCTTCCAGTCTTGTCGTCAGGTGGCATCCATAGGAAGGCTTGAGTGGGATCAGAGCTGTCCATGGCACTGGAAGAGGGGAGAACTCATCTGATGGCAAGTTACCTCTTCTTCCCAGAGAGTGATGACCCCCATTTGGACATCCGAGAGACACAGGCAGACCTGACCCAGGATGTGGAAGGTTCAGGGGAGCAGGAGGGAGAGTTGGCCCTAACAGAGGAGGTGATCCAGTCAGAAGGAGAGGAGGCTGAGGCTTCCACCAATCAAGACACCTTTGAGGATGAGCAGGCCATGGAGTCGGACCCAGCAGCCCTAGGTGAAGACTTGCAGTGCCCCAGGGAAGAGGAAACAATTGAATTGCACCATCCTGGGTGCAAGACCTGCCGCTACCGCTTGGTGCGAACTCCTAGGAGGTTTAAACAAGCTCAGGTGAGTGGCAGGAAAGCTACTGTGGAGGACCTGGGGGAGAAGAAGAGAGTGGATTCAGCCTTCCGTTCCATACTCATTTAGACTAGTGGTTATCAAAGTCTAATGTGTACCAGAATCTCCTAGTGAGATGAAATCTGTTAAAAAACAGATTTCTGGGCCCCTTACCCCAAATTTCCGATCTAGCAAGTCTTGGGTCGGGCCTAAGAGTTTGCATTTATACCACGTTCCCAGGTGATGATGATATTGTTGCCTGGAGACTGCACTTTGAGAACCACTTATTTGGACAAAAGGCTTTGGTATTAGATAGACCTATGTTCAATCCTGGCTCTGCCTGTCAGTGGCTGTGTTACCTGGGCAAGTCACTTCACCTTTCAGAGCTTCAGTATCTTCATTTGTAAAATGGAGATACATAGTTCCAAGCTCCTAGACTTCTGGTGAAGTTTCCATGAAATAATACATGGAAAGTATTTAGAATACTCCCTGGGTCATTGTAAACTCTCAATAAATGGGGGCTATAATGATGCTGAGTATTATTATTATTTCCTGCAAGAAGTTCCTGACAACAGTAAAAGGAGCAAGCGATGATACTGAGGAGGGCAGTAGGTCCTGATCTATGAACTGAAAAGGGATGTAGGCTCTCTGCTGGAGACTCATGGACTTGAGTAAAAGGAGAGTGAATTCTTTACACCACCTCTTCTTGTCTCTGCAGAATGTCTGCAGGAGGTGCTACCGAGGCAATCTTGTCTCCATACACAGCTACCACTTAAACTATCGCCTCCAGTGCTCAGTCAGGTGTATCAACCAAGGCCAGGTCTGGATTGGAGGCATCAGGAGAGGCTGGGTAAGTGTGGGGCCAACTCCCAGGTACGGGAAGTTCTTTCTGGTCACCTCGAGGGTACACCTGCTGGCCTCAAGTCTTATCCCAGCAGCTGAGGTGACCCTAGGCAGGTGGGGATGAGCTGGAGCTGGCTTGTACTGGCTCAGGAGAACCACTGATTATGCATGTCTCTTCCCAACTCAATGTTCAGTGACTTCACGCTTGTAGCTTGAAATCTCCCATGGTGGATGAATTTACACCAAGGAAGTTGGCAACTGCTACAAGTCCCTCTGCCTTCTCACCTTCCCCCAGAGATGGTTGTTAAACACTTACCAGCACACCCCTGGCGTCACGAGATAGGTTCCATGCCCATCTTGGTCACTTACTAGCTGAATGACTTCCTTGAGCCTCAGTTGCCCCATGTCAAAAATGGAGTCCTTCTTCTGTTAGAGTGGCTCTGGGATTGTGGATGAATAAGTGCCATCACATTTGCTACTCAGGTGTGGTCCATGAAGCAGTAGTATCAGCATCCTTGGTAGCTTGCTTGAAATGCACAATCTTGGGCCGCACCCCAGACCTCCTGAATCAGAATCTGCGTTTCAACAAGATCCCCAGGAGATTTGTATACACAATGAAGTTTGAGAAGCCTACTCTGTGTGATGATGCCATTGCCTGCACTCAGGGATGGATCTCTAGGGTATCTGGCTTCTAGCCGGGTGAACAGCGAGAAGAGACTATACGTATAGTGAGTGTCCAGAAAGGGATGCTTGGTGCTCGGTGTGCATTCTCCGGAGCCTGTGATTGTCTCTGTCTTCCTGGATTTCTGCCCTCTGATGCAGCCTATCCCTTCTCTAGCGCTGCCGCAGGAGATTTCGCTGGACTGATGGGAGCCGCTGGAATTTTAGCTACTGGGCCTCAGGGCAACCTAGAAAGGGGAGAGGCCGCTGCGTGGCTCTATGCACCAGAGGTGAGGGGAACTGAGCACCAGGGCAAGGGGAATGGGGGTAAGGTGACCTCTTACATACTGTCCCTTTGGGCTGTCTCAACACTCCTCCCCAAACTCACACCCTTCTCCCAACTGGAGAGCCACGTCCTCTCTGTGAGAAGGGCTGAGATGTAGGGACAGATTCCTCAAAGCAAAACCAGGTGATGGGGTGTCCTGTGTGGGGGTTAGATGCGGGCTTTCCATCTTACTGCCTGGGTGGGGGTCCTTTCCCTCTTCTGATATGATGGCGACAGATGAGAGTAGCAGAGGTGAACTAAACTGTGGATGAGGGACTAAGGAAAGATGTGGGAATTAGGGATGGCTGACAGACAGTTCTCCAGCTTCCAACAGCATGGATGAGGGATGTGAGGGAGCACAGTACAATGGCTAAGACCACAGGCGCTGGAGTAAGACTGCTGCGGTTCACATCCCGGCTCTGCCACGGGCCAGTAGAGACACAGGCAAATTATTACCCCCACTAAGCCTCAGTTTCCTCATCTGAGAAATGGGGATGAGCTAGCACCCATCTCTTGGAGTCATTGTGAAGATGAAAGCACTCAATCACCCTGTCTCCCTCGCTGTGGGAGCTCACGAAATGTGAGCTGGTAGGGATGTGTAGGCAACATATGGCTGACTGATCACAGCCACAGCAGGCGAGGGAGGGTATGAGGTGCCTGAGGAGGGAAGGAGCGGGGCACAAGCCACACTCAGATGGGCAGCTGACCTCACTGTGCTCTCTATTGCCAGGGGGTCACTGGCGACGAGTTCCTTGCAGCAGGCGTCTGCCTTTCATCTGCTCCTCCTAAGCCGTTGGCACGGAGACCCTGCCTTGAAGCCTCCTCACTTCACAGCATCCTGTCAGCCCCCTGGACACTGGCCTTGTCCCCTTGTCCCTCCTCGAAATAAAACCAGACTTCCCACAGCATTTCCTGACTCTTTTCTTCATCGCTCACTTTGGAGGACTCCCTGGGGTTCGAAACACCTGAAAGCCATCACTCCTGCAGGGTGGGGCTTTGAGGAAAGTAAAAGGTGGTGGAGCCTATAGGGCTCCCGGTAGGGGTGGGTGGGGGTGCTGAGGTTTTGGGCTGCAGCGCCACCTGGGGGCGGAGCATGGACTCTGGAGGACCCTTCTCAGCCCTGGCTCAGGGATTCTCACCCCTCTCCCCCAGGCTCTGGGGGAAGATCCCATTCCGTGGGGGGTGCGGAACTGGCCCTCCTATTTTGTTTGGGTTCAGTATGCGGGGTGGGGTGGGGTGGGAGTGGGGTGGTTTTCCAAAACGGAGCTGATCTTGCTGATTGAAGGATTGGGGTGGAGCAGTGAGATGCCATCTGGATAAGCATGTGGGAGGGAGGAGAAAGTAGTCTTGTCTGGGGGCAGCCTGTTCCTCTATTCTTCTGTTTTGTTGGCCTCAGATACTGGCCCCTGTTTTCCATTCTTCCAGCCACTGTGGGTGAATTGAAAGGCCCCAACTTTTTCTGAGATCTGTTCCCCACTCCATACCCAGGAGGGTGCCTGTCCTTCCCTCTCCCCCATCCACAGTCTACCTCCCTAAAGGGGTTACATTCTCAGGAGGGAGAGGTGCTTCCCAGCATTAGAGTCTTGGGGCCAGTCAGGGTATCTGGTTGCCTCTGGCTCCCATGCTGTGTCTATAGCCCCAGGCTTCAGCTTCTCTCCCTCATCCCTTGTTCTCTGACCCAGGGGACATAGAGAGAGAGCACTGTTGCTGCTCTTTACCTTGTTCGAGGCAGGATGCTTGGCTCCCGGTAGGATCTGGAGTTGATGCAGCAGGAGTTCAGATCTGAGACTGGGTATTAAGAGGGCAGACAGCCTTGGGTTGTGGGGAGAGAATGAGGGGGGCACTCTGAGACAGAAATACTTCTTTGGGTGTCGTTCTACATGGGGCACAGGGAGAAGGTGCAAATATTTCTGGAGATGCACATGCACATGCGTGTATGTGTATTTTGGTGTGTAAGCGAGTCACTCTTTGTATACCTGTGTGTATCTGTGTATGTGTGAATCTGTATATGTAAATGTGCGTAAATCTTTGAGTCAGTGTGTATTTGTGTGTTGTTTGAGAGTGTACATTTTGTACATCTCTGTATTAATGGATAGGCCTGTGTGTCCGTGGACACCTATGAAGCTCCGCACCGTAAGATGCCTGAATGTGTCTGTGCACGCACGTGTGTACTTGGGTGCCTTTGGCCAGTATGTTTTGAGGTGTGTATACATGTTAGTGTGTGTCTGAGCACACCTGTGTACAGGTCTACATTAGTGTGTGAACATGTGTGTGTGCCTGTCCCGGCATCTGATGGGATGTGGAGTTTCAGGAACTAAAAGAACGGTCTCCCAGATGTGCTTTCTTTCTAAAGGCTCTGGAGGTGGTGGAACAGGACAGGGTCGGAGAACCCCAGGGGAAGCGGGTGGCGAAGAAGCAGCAGGGCTGAGTTCCCTGAATATGAGCGGGCCTCTGACAACGGGACCATGGGTCTTGGGCTTGCCATGAATCTCACCAATGCTTGACCTCAGGGACTGCTTCTGGTGAAGAGGCCTGTCCTCCACAGAGGGGTGTGTCCCTCAGCTTTGGTTGCAGATTGGGTCAGGAAGCTGCTAATCACAGCATGTCAGTCTCCCCAACGGCATGGAATGGGGGCTGCCTGGGGGTCAGGGCCCCACCTAGGTCCCTGCATTGCATACTGCAACAAGCGAATTCTTTTTCGTGTATGTGTGAAGAAGATTTGCCCTGAGCTCATATCTATGCTAATCTTCCTCTCCTTTGTATGTGGGATGCCTCCACAGCATGGCCCATAAGTGGAGTAGGTCCACACCCGGAATCCTAACCTGCAAACCACAGGCCACTGAAGCAGAGCGTGTGGAACTTTAACCACTGAGCCACAGGGCCGACCCTGCAACAGGGTAATTCTTGACACTCTGCTTCTAAAAGAACAGTAGAATCTGGCTTTCAGGGGTGGGAGTGATAGGCAGTAAAGGAAGATCTGCATAGGGAGCTCTTGGACTGGTATTTCGGCTGAATGGCAAGACTCCACTTTACTCCTTGTTGGGGACTTGGTTCTAGCCAATCCCGGTCACCCACTGTCCTGCCAGCCAAGACTGGAGGTAGAGGGAGGGCAGGGAGAGGAGGGGCTTAGACGTCTCCAGATTGAAGCTTGCTTGAGGCAGGCAAGGGTAGATAAGGTGTCCCTCAAATATCCAGCACTGTCTGTTATTGGGCTCAACTTCAACCATTATATATTCATTCCTTTGGTTGTTTAAGGTCTTGCAGTCTTGAATAGCCTTTGATTAAAAAGCAAATACTCTTAGGAGAAGAAACCCCTAAGAGCATTATCTCTTAATTCGTCTGGGAGGTTGATTGGTAACTTGCCAAGAACGTGGTTCTGTGAGAAGGAACACAGAAGGCAAGGATGTGTGCCACTGTCAGTGGGCATGGGGAGAGGGCAGTTGTGGAGAAGAGAAGCCATTGAAAAGGGGATAAGGAAGCAGAGAGTGCAATATTCACCATTTTTTCTTGCTGGGGACTGAGGTAGAGTGTGTTTCCTGGTATTCCTTGCATAAGTTGGGCTCTGCAGGGGCTGGCCCAATGGGTGAGTGGTTAAGTTTGCGCGCTCCGCTGCAGGCGGCCCAGTGTTGCGTTGGTTCGAATCCTCGGCGCGGACATGGCACTGCTCATCAAACCACGCTGAGGCAGCGTCCCACATGCCACAACTAGAAGGACCCACAACGAAGAATATACAACTATGTACCAGGGAGCTTTGGGGAAAAAAAGGAAAAAATAAAATCTTAAAAAAAAAAAAGTTGGGCTCTGCAGCATGCTACTGGGTGTGGCCAATGCAATGTGGGAGGAAATGATGTAAGTCTCTTCCAGACCTGGCCTTTAAATGACCTCCTATGATCTTCCTGTTCTCACTGTCCTTGCCACAGGGATCTGGGGGTCCCTGTGTCCCTGAAGGCATAGCTACCCGATGGAAGGGGCTGTCTGACCTGCTGTGTGTAGTAAACCTTGAGATTTCACAGCCTACTTGTTACTGCAGCAGAACCTGGTTGAACCCAACACATATAGACAAGAAGGTGCCCAGGAATGTCCTAATTTTTCCCGGACAGACATAGCACAGAAGTCAGGATCCCAGCCACCAGAGTCACAAAGCTCTGTGTCTGAGTCCCAGTTCTACATTTCAATTTTTTTAGCCTTACTAAGCCTCAATTTCTTCTTCAATAAAATAAAAGTTGAGTTAGACAACATCTGTAATGCATTTAGCCCACGGCCTGGCAATGGCAGGTTGTCACTAAATGTTGGCTTTTGTGCAGAGTCATTAAGGAAGCAGTGTAGTGGTAGGAATGAGCATGGCTTCCAGTTTGAATTTCCATGTATTGCACATTTCTTCTTCTATGAAATAGGATTAATAACAAACCACAGCAAGCTCACCAGGGTTGGTGTGCAGGTCCATGTGATTATGTTGGTGACTGTGCTGAGGACACCAGCACGCAGGAGAGACAAGTTAGCTACTTTATTAGTACTGATGTCAACCCGAAGTCTAGCACACAGAAGCGCTAACTTAGTTCAGCTGTGGGAGGACAGTGTCAGGCTCACACCCATGGGTTCAGGCCAGGAGGGGCTGATGCACCCACAGGAGGACCAGCCCAGTGTGGGAAAAGAGAGGGCTGGGGAAGGGGGTCCCTCCAGGACACCGCTGCCTCCATGTCCTCCTCACAGAACGTCCTCAGCCCCAGCCCAGGCTCCTGAGAGCTGGATTCACCGGGAATGCCTGTGGGCCTCCTGGTTGGAGAATGCAGTGCCGTCTTCATTGTCTGCTGATCAGATCTCCAGACATGGCCTTATTCTGGAGGCTGCTCCTGGGGTGGTATTATCCCACCATCCTGCGGATGGAGCTGAGGGGTGAAGGCAGAGTCAGGGAAGCGACATGGGCCTTGTGTGTGGGAATCTTACCCCTTCTCTCCCTGCGGTGGGAGATCACTGGTGTTGGGCCTTTGCAAGTGCCCACTGCTTGATCGTCCCAAACTACTCCCAAAGCTGCCCACACCCCTTTTCTCTGCACCTTCCTTCGAGGGGCCAGCCCTCATCTACAGTTAACTTCATTTCTGCTAAGTCCTCATGGTCATGCCCACACTCCAACTTTCCTGGAGGCAGATTTACTGTGAAGCCAATGAAACCTACTTCCGGGTTAATATGTCTGTGACAGTTCACATTCCCACCAATAAAGAAGGAGAACCATGCATTTTGGACAAACTCCCAAGAAGATTCTGAAATGCAGTACAGGATTGGAACCACAGGCTCTGAGACATCTGAGAGTGGCCCCCCCCCCCCACCCCCAGGTTCCTGAAAGGGGTGACAGGAGAGAAGCTGGAGGGTAATGAGTGGTGTCCCCAAAGAAGTGAAGAAATGAAGGGTTCTTATCAGCCCTCCCACCTCCCTCAGGCTGTGGCAAACCTTCCTTCCTCTGAGGAACTTCCTCCGAAGTCCCTACATAAAATGTCACTGTGGGATGGAGAGAAGGAAGATCTGGGATTTGGGAATTCCTCAGGACCCAGGAAGACTTCTGGGCAGGTAGGTGCTTTCTGGTGTAGTGGAACTTATTCCAAGTAAATGTTCATCTCCTGGGAGGCATTTGGCCTGGTCTGGGAGGTTCTGGAGGGCTGGCTGGGATTGTGTGTGGCTGTCAGGTTGCAAGGGTGTCAGCAGGGACAGGAATTCTCATCCTCTGCCTGTCACATTCCTTCTGAGTTACGTGAAAGGTCTCCTTTTCTGGGGAACCAGAGATGCACATGTGGCTTTTTGAGCTCTGAGGAGGGAACCTACTTTCTAAGTGCTGCGTGGCCTAGGAAGGCCAATAATCATTGTTTCTGGATTCTCTTTGTTTCAGAGACTGTGAGGGGCTTATTAAGTACAAAACATAAAAATAATATTCCCCTCTTCACATTCAGGTCCACGGGAAAGCCAACCTTGTCTGCCCCTCATGGTCTGCTTCATTCTATTCAGAAAGAAGTGCTAGCATCCTGGAGAATCAAAGGCTGGGCTCAGCATTAGCTTTTCTGGCCCATCCTGGCTTCTGTTCATGCCTGCTGTTTCTTTACCTCACTCCCAATGTCCCCTAATGGTGTGGCTGTGGGGTGTGTGTGTGTGTGTGTGTGTGTGTGTATGTGTATGTGTGTGTTTGACAAACTATGTTCCCCATTGCAGGAAAAAGCCAAGATGAATCTCTCCCTATTTCTGGCTGTTCTATCTGGGGCAGTTTCAGCTCTTCATCTGGGTAAGTCTCCTTAGCCTTCAGTCTTTCTTTCTCTTCTGCTCCTTTCTAAAGTCTGTAGGGTCAGAGTCACAAAGCCACCTCTTTTGCTGGCCATCCTCTATTGCAAGATGTGTGCATTTAAGGGAACAGAGACTGTAGAACCTGGAGTTAGAGGGACTCCTTGGGGCATCTGTATATCTGCAGCCTCATTTGTAGTATGACATTCTCAATTTTGTCCTTTATAGATAATGCCCATGATGATCACCATAATGACTTTCTTTTATTTGAGCTCACCTAGTGTACTGTGCTAAGCATTTTGTATGCATTATCTCCTTTAATCCTCATAGCATCCCCATGAGGAATGTAGTATTGTATACGCTTATTGCAAATGAAGTAAAGCTAGTAGATGATGGAATCAGTACCCAAACCCACAAGGGCCTGGTGCTGAGTCCTTGATCTTCACCCCATGACCTCATGTGGGAGGCTAGGTTATCCTCATGGAGGCGTGGTTCTAGGTTCCTCTCTTTCCAAGGCTGAGCATTCTGATGGCTAGGGCAAGGAGGGAACTGTCCTTGGTTCTAGAGAGGAACAGGAAAAGATGTGAGGGGTTGCAGTTGGACTTTCTCTCTGCCAGGGACTGAAACATCCAACTTTGAGAGCCCCTTGGGAGATGAGATCCTGCCTTAGAATGGGGAGATGCCAGAACACGGGACAATGGAGGCTCCTAGGGAGGGACTGACGCTGCTGGAGGAAGAGGAGGAGCGAGGCTCTGGAGGTGAAGATGCCCCTGAGGAAGAGGGGGCTGTCAAATCAGTCTCAGTCCTAGAAGAGATGGACAAAGACTTTCAGTGCCCTAAGGAAGAGGATACAGTCAAACAGGTGAGCATCCCTGGATGCAAGACCTGCCGCTTTGTTGTGGTGGCGAGAGCCATGACTTTTAGTCAAGCTCAGGTGAGTGGCCTGTGGCTGAGGCTGAGTCCAGGGGTGGGGAGGAAGGCAGGGAGGGGATGTCCCCAGGCTCTGAGTCACTGTTTATTTTCCTCACTGAGGACCCTGGGGGTGTCAGGAGGGGCTGAGGCTCACAGAAGTGTTAGAGGTGGGTAAGAGAGGGTAAGAAGTGAGGGTCAAGTGGAAACAGAAGTTACATTTTGATCTCCCATCTTCAAATGGCTGTGTGATTGGGTTGGCGAGTGGGGGAATGAATTGTGGAGACTTCAAGACCCAGGGCTAATGTCATGTGTATTCCTGAGGAGGGGTACCCCATTTTTCCTCTTTTATCCTGCCTTGCAGTATACTTGGCAGAGGTGCTACTGGGGCAAACTCGTCTCCATCCATAACCTCATCTTTCCCTACCACATCCAGTGCTCAGCCAGAAGTGTCAGCCAGGGTCAAGTCTGGATTTGAGGCATGAGCACAGGCTGAGTAAGAGGGGTCCCAGATCTAAATGGGGAGCCCCTTCTGACCCAAGCCTGTGCTCAACATGCTGCAAATTTCTTTGTGCTTCTGCTCTCTGATCCTCTGAAGAATTGGGGAGAGTTGAACACCTGGGCATGATAGCAAGGTGGCTGCCTAGGCATCGGGAAGAGCCAAGGCTTTAGGTGAGTATGTTTGGGTTCAAGTTCTGCTCAGCCTCTGACTGTCTGTATGACTTGGGCAGGACTATGAGCCTGGGTCCTCATCTCTAGAATGGGGTTGAAACTCCTGTCCCACCTCTTGTCAGGGCCAGAAGGATGAGTGTGTCACGAGGATGCATAGAATGTGATGGTGCTGATCACTGTGGATCAACATTTTGGTTGACGAGGACTGTGTCCATGATGGTCCAACAGAGAAGGCAAATGCCCAGCAGGCAGCAGGAGGATCAGACAGGGACAGTTCCAGCTCTACCTCCTGCTTTCCCTTTGCCTCATGCTCCAGCCCACCTTCTCCCTTCCTCTCTCCTCTAGGGCAGCTGCCAGTGCTTGTACTGGGTTGATGGCAGTGCCTGGAAGATTTGGTACTGGGCTCTCAGCCAGCCCCTGGCCTCTGGTGGCTTCTGTGTGTCCATGTGGAACCGAGGTGATGTGGAAGTGGGGATCAAAGATGATAAGGCATGGGAGGTGGGAGGCTTATGGAGGTGGTGCTAGGAAGATCTGGACCCTCCATGGGAGAGGCCTTCTGGATCTTCAAACTTCATGTCCACTGAAGTGTGGTGGCTGCTGGAATGTCTTGGCTTTGTAGGCATCCTCTTCGGCTGGGTGTCGCTGGTGTTTGTCTTTAAGACAGAGCATCACTTTGAGGAGCTGTGTGAACCAAATGCCAGGCTGACGGGCAATACCGCGCTGATGAGCATGCCATGGGACAGGCTCGTAAGGGAGTGATGACTTCTCTAGGAGGCTGAGGCTGGTTCTCACTTGGTGGGAAGGGGTAGGGAGGACTCCATCCCCTGCCCACCCTGCCAACCTTTCTACAGTGAGAGAAAGGGGGTGTCAGCCTCCCCTGTCCCCTACCCCTCAACCTCAGTCTAGGAGGTGCCTGGAGAGGGAAGTACTAGCTCCTGAGGGGTAATTAGAGGCTGCCACACTTCAGCTCACCGAAGGGAGAACTTTCCACCAGCCAGCTGTCCAAGACGGGAGAGGCTGCTCTGGAGGGGAGCCAGGCTGGGAACCCACCTGGCAGGAAGGCTGGGCTGGATGGGAGGTTGGCCCATCCACTCTGGCTTCTGAGATCCCCGTTTCCAGCCTCCAGACTGCAAAGCCCAGGATGAGAAGTTCTCGCTCATCTTCACCCTGGCGTCCTTCATGAACAACTTCATGACATTCCCCACCGGCTAACTCTTTGACAGTTTCAAGACCACCATGGCCCGCCTCGTAGCCATGTAAGTCCAAAGGCCCAGTCTTGGTGGAGATGAGCAAGAGGAATTCTTCTGGCATTAGCCTCTCTTGGAGGGAGCCTCGGGCCAGGCAACTCGGCAGCCCTGCCAGGCACTGCCGCAGCAGCTGTGTGAGAAACAGCCCAGAGTGTGAAGTTGGCTAGACCTGCTCTCTTCCCACACCCCTACTTCCCTTTCCTTGACTCCTTTCTCTGCTAGGTGTGAATGTGTGTTCTATGTGACAGGCTTTCTGAGAGGGCTGGCCTGGGCCCGGGGTTATGAAATTAGCAAAACCTAAAAATGTCACTCTGACTTCATCCCGGGGACCCTTGTCTATAGCTCCTACAAGGCCTCATGGCCAGGTTGCTCAGACTTAATTGTCATCTTCCTCACCCCCGTCACTCCCCAGAGGCTTAGCCAGTGAGGTCTCCTGGGACCCACAGTGGTGGGATATCAGGTCCCCTGGGGCTGGAGGGAAGGCAATGGGGTTTCCCATGCAGATGAGTCAAAAAGGCCAAGGACTTGCTCTCGCTCATCCAGGGTGCCACTCCAACTGGCCTGGGTCATTGATAAGCGGTGCCCTGCTGGGAGCTGATAGAACCCAAAGCAAGCAGCCCCTGGCATGCTTGTGAGAGATTAGTTGTCAGAGGGACTGGAGGGCCAGCTGGGCCAGGAAATAGCCAGGTCCCTTGGTCTTTAAGTGCTTGGCACATAATGACTTTATCTCGTCTCTCTTGGTGTTTGACTCCCTCTCCTCCTCTTCCCTCTCCTCCCTCTTCTCCAGCCTCCATGTGTTAAGAAAAACTCAGTCTTCCTTCCTGTGTTTCTCCTTTACTTTTACGCACGATACTTCACACCCAAATGTGTGTTTGTGGGGGGTGTTCCCACACCAAGCCGTCCTGCCACAACAGCTGAGTGACCTACAATTTAACTCAATTCTGACCTCATCTTCCTGGAGATAGAGTCAGATCCCACAGGTAAGGGCTCAGTTCCACGAGACTGCCCCCACTTCAGACACCAGTCGCAAGTGGTGTGTTCCCTGGTTACTCACAACTTCTGTCTGACTTGGCTACACAGCAGAGGTTCCCATGACCACCTCCCCCTTGGGTTTGATTATTTGCTAGACTAGCTCACAGAACTCGGGGGAAAACTTACTTACATTTACCAGTTTATTAAAGGATGTGATAAAGGATACAGATGAATGGTCAGATGAAGAGATATGTAGGCGAGGTCTGGGAGGGTCCTGAGCCCCGGAGCTTCTCTCCCTGGGAAGTTGGGGTGTGTCACCCTCCTAGTATGTGGATATGTTCACCAACCCAGAAGCTCTCCGAACCCTCTACTATTGGGGTTTTGTGGAGGCTTCCTCAAGTAGGCATGATCAATTACTAACTCCATTTCCAGCCCCTCTCCCCTCTCTAGAGAAGTGGGGAGCGGGGCTGAAAATTCCAATCTTCTATTTATGGCTTGGTATTTCTCATGACCAGTCTCTTCCAGGAGCCATCCAGGAGCCCACCCAGAGTCACCTCATTAGAACAAAAGATGCTCCTAGTGCTCTTATCACTGAGGAATTTGAAGGATTTTAGAAGTCCTGTGATAGGGACTAGGGACAAGGACCAAATAGATATTTCTTATTCTAAATCACTATATCACACAGGCACTACTTTTATTACCCCACGTCTTATAAGACCCCCAAACTGCTAGAAGATCCCCATAACCTTTGGATTGTGGTTCTATAATCACAGAACCCTGGAACTTTAACCTTGGGTTCTAGGTCAGTCCAATCATTTCCTTTTATACAAAAGGCCACTGAGGCCCAGAGAAGGGCAGTGTCTTGACCAAGGTCACGCAGCAAGTAGGAATTAGGACTGAAGGTTTTGATTTGTAGACCAGACACTAACACCTTTCTCCAAAAGATTGGCCTGTTGGGACTCCCAGGTGGGAGGGCCTTCGCTCCACTCACTTTGTCTCTGGCCAAGCCAGATAACCTTCTCCTGAACTCATTGCATCCTTAGCTGAGTTCATTGCCCAGGATTTCCCAGTGTAGCCTTGGACCTTGAGAGGAGCCAAATACCCTCATTTGTGAGGTCAGGGCCACATATAAATCACATCCGGGCTTCTGGCACCTGGCTCTGAGCCTGGGGTCCAGAGGCATCCATGCCCATTGGACCCGCAGGCTGAGAATGCACTCTAGCGCCAAATTTGGAGATTGGGTGAATAGAATTCTCGGTATTGTCCCCCAGTTTTCCTTTTCCTTGACAACATCCTCCATCCCCTGTTCTGTGTTTCAGATTTCTGTACACCACTGCCACACTCACCATAGCCTTCACCTCTGCAGGTGAGTGCTGTCAGTGGGGTGGGAGGGACACAAGCTCAGGGGCACCTGCTGGGTGGGACAGTTGCCGAAGGTGATGGACAGGACACACTGATCCCCCACGGTTATCAGAGAGCCACAGACTTTGAGCTTGAAAGAATCCTTGAGAGAGTATTACTGGTCTATGAAAACAGTTTCTCCTACTGAGAAATGCAACAAATAAGCACAATGGAGGGATTGCCTCAGAGAGAAGAATTTCTTCCAAAGATTACATCTTTCCTCTTCTATGTCTTAAAATGGTCACTCTCTCTTATTTCAACGAAATGATAATATGAATGACAGTTGCTTTCGAAAATATCCTTACTTAGCAGGTCAAAAGTTGACGATCCTAGGTAGTCAAAAGTTTTCTTTTCAAATTTTACTGGTCTATAAATGTATAAAATTCCCAAAGTCTAGGAATTCCAATCTGGTTTATTCCTGCTTTCTCCCAGTATGCAGAGGAGAAAACTGAGCTAGAGAGAGACCCCTTGCAAAGACTTGCCCAAGGCCACAGAGCAAGTTAGTGGGAAGTGGGCTTGGGGTCCCCGGCCGTGCCCTCTCCTAGCATCTTGGTTATGCTGGCCAAGAGATGCCTTCTAATATTTCTCCCCAGCATCAGATCGCGTGGTTCAATTTTGGGGATAGGAAGTAAAAGTACATAACTGTTGTGTGTGTAGTGCTTTGCTGAAGCCGTATGGCATCATGAGGTCGTCTCCATTTGTGCTCCGTAAACACAGGCTGAGCGTCTTTGATCTCATGAGATAGCCTGGCACCTCAAGCCAGTTATTTAAAACCACTCTCCTCATCAAACCAGCTTTATCTTATCTAAGAGCCTGTAAATGATTTTTAATTTCTGCATGTGGCGGTGGTGGCTAGGTATGTTTGACTCACCTTGTGAATCATTTGAGCAGCTGTTGTCCCTTCTTCCATAAAACGGGGCTTTTGGTTTTTGGAAAAAGTGTTGGGGCCACAATGCCCCAATTGTGAAAGGAATCTCACCCAACCTTAGGAGAGTGCATTAGGAGAGAGGTACCTTTTATAAAGACAGAAATTGAATGGTAAATGGCGTGAATAGTCTAAAATGAGCACTTTACAGTGCTTCTCAAGGTATAGAAAAATAGTTACTTCAGAGGACATTAGGAGGTACAACCATGCCGCGTTAAGCACTGAATCGTCTGGTGGAAAAATCATTCTTTTTTTATTTCTCTTTCAGTCCTCTGATTTCATGAGCGAAAGTCTTGACACGGGGCCGGCATGAATTTAACACTATGGCAGGAGCAGGTTTCAAGCTTGGAACGTTCTGAGGGCAACTGCATCTAGTTACAATTTAATAACATTGTTTTCCTTTCATTGTATTTATTTTTACTATTCCTTTCTATTCTTGACAAGCAACATGAGTTGCTTTTCATTTACAGTAGTGATACAAAGTTTCCTTTAAAAATAATAGATTTCTTTTGGATAAAAGGGAGTCAACGTGAAGAAAACATTTTAACAAATAATAGGATGGGCATGGGTTATGGCCCAAATCAGGAAAGAAGTCTGTAGTTTGGAAAGACTAATTTATTAAGGGCTCCAAACTCCCGGCATTTTAATTCTGTTATCATCCAACACTTTCCAGACCTATCGTAGTAGTTTGTTTGCAGGTCAGTCTGTTCAAGGGTAGGAAGTATGCTTAACCCATCCTTCATTTCCAATGCCAAGCACAATGCCCCATGAAGGAAGTGCTCAAGTTTGATGAACAAAGGAAAGAGTCTGTCCCATTTTCTCACTGAGGTCTGCCAACACCCCATAAGGCAGCAAGAGGAGGGACTGTTATTCCCATTTCACAGATAGGGTCACTGAGTCACAGATTCAGAATCCAACTCAAAGTCATGCAGTGAATAAGAAGGTGGGCTTGGGGACGGAATCCAGACTTCTCTCCCCACAGTGTCAAGGATGAATAGAAGGGGCTGTTTGTAGTTGAATGAGAGAAGTGAGCAGTGGCTTCACTTCGAGTCTATCTGGAGACATCCAGGTCTGCCACAGACCAAGGACCATCTTTGGTGGGGAAGAAGGTGGCTCAGGAGACCTCTGCAAGGACATTTGGGGGAGCCTGGACCAGTACCGTAAGACCTCGAAGGATGCTAGAATTAGGGCCCTGAGCCCGGGATTGTTGGGAATTTGGAGCAAGTAGGAGCCAGAGTTTGGGGTTCCATGTTTGGGTTGCACTATGATACTGCCCCACCTCTGGTTTGATTGTTCCAGAATCAGCCCTGCTCCTCTTCCTGGCCATGCCCATGCTCACCGTCGGGGGAATCCTGTTTCTGATCACCAACCTGCAGGTGTGAGCCTGCCCTCATCCCAGGCACCTGGCAGGAGGGTGGAAGGAGGGAGAAGCACTTTTCCACATTGGCTACCTTAAATGGGGTTGGCCCAGGCCAGGGTGGTAGCTCCTGGGGTGGAGGGTGAGTCTGGGTGTCATGAAGGCCTAGAACATGCTGGGTGCATAGGAAATATTTATTTCATGAATAAATAAGTGATTCAGGTTGGTCACATTCTCTCCAGGTGGGAAACCTGTTTGGCAAACACCGCTCAACCATCATCACGCTCTACAATGGAGCGTTTGACTCTTCCTCGGCAGTCTTCCTTATCATTAAGGTAAAAAATATGGGGTCAGCCCATTGGCCGAGTGGTTAAGTTTGCATGCTCTACTTGGGCGACCCAGGGTTTCGCTGGTTTGGATCCTGAAAGTAGCCATGGCACCGCTCATCAGGCCATGCTGAGGTGGCGTCCCACATAGCACAACCAGAAGCACTCACAACGAGAATATACAGCTACATACTGGGGGGCTCTGGGGAGAAGAAGAAGGGGAAAAAAAAAGAAGATTGGCAACAGATGTTAGTCCAGGTGCCAGTGTTAAAAAACAAAAACGAAAACATAAAAAATAGTAATAGCCAACATTTATTGAGCACTAATATATGCCAGACACTTGTCTTGTGAATTTTACATGATTTCTTTCCATCAAACTTTCTGCAGCTAGAAAACATGAGACTTGAACTTGAGCCCAGGCCTGTCTGGTTCTAGAGGCTGAGCTTGTAACCATTAAACTCCTTCTTCACACTCCTGTAGGATTTTTGCACGGAGGCTAGGGGAAGTCATGGCCATGATGTGCCCGGGCCAGCGTTGGGCAGAGGCTTGGGGCCCTTTGCAAGGGGGTGTTTGCGCCTGTGAGCTTCTGGGTTGGACAGGGAGGTGGGGGGTGGCTCGTGGGAGCAGCAGGGGCAGACACAGAGTCCTCTCCAGCTCTCCTGAAGGCCGAGGTTAGTGATCAGGGGATGGGCTGTTGCCAGTGCTGTTAGTAGCCCACCTAGCAGCCATTCTCCCTTCTTCATTGCTAACATTTCATCTGGGCAGTGGTGTGCCCAGCCCAGGGGATGAATCCTGATTGATCTCAGCCAACTGAGGCAGTCCTTTTCCTCCTTGCTAATGAGAGTAGAGGTGGGCATATTCTCCAGTCATTGTTAGTGAGGTGAAGGGGTTGTATTCACGAGGACTTTAAGGATATTTCTCTCCTTGTTGGAAGATGAAAGCAGAGCAAAAAGAAAGCCTTCCTCCCTGGTCCCCCTTTCCACCCTTCCTCTTTGAATGTTGTGGCAACTGTTTGAATGTTTGAATATAGCTGGATGTGTGACAGCCATTCTGTGATTATGAGGCAACAAACTGGAGGACAAAAGCTAGCAAACTAAGGATGAATGAGTGAAAGGAATAAAAGAATATGAGTCCTTGACACCTGAAGCCGACCAACTTGGGACTTCCCTCTGGGCTTTGTGTTAGGCCAGAGGCAGCTGGCACAGCCTGTGGGCCAGGGGCAAGAGAAGAGGATCTCTGGGAGTCACTATCCAGATATGAAACTATCTTAGTACTGTGAGCACCTGGGCTTGGAGGGTCGCCCACAGGCTGAGCCTTGGGGCACGTACTCAAGCCTTTCTACCGCTTGTGCAAGAACCGCTTTCCAGGTACTTCCTCCTTCCCCTGGATGTGCTTCCCTTTCTCTCTTCCCTCTTTGGAGTTGGAAGGAGAGAGAGCGAGCCAGAGCAGGAGCTGGAGATCTCCGTTTAATCTGACCTTGCTGCTGCTTACTCTGACCTTGAGCAATTCCTTGTGCCTCTCTGGACCTCAGTTTCACCCTCTGTAAAGTGAGGAGGTTGGGCTAGGTCAATGGTTTTCAAACTGGGTGTCGAAGAACACCGAGGGGTTCCCTTTGATGTTGTGTTGGTCACCAAGGAGAATAAGGGGGAGGATGACAGGGCCACTCCCCACTGATACGTTTCATAAGTGTAATTTCTGTGTAAAATTCTGTTTGAACAAAAGGACTTTGCTGCCATTAAAAAAAAAAGGCAGCAGGCTGGAAGATCTCTGAGAAACTTCACTTCACTAGGAGGCTCTATAAGACTGTGGGGATGGATAATACACTGCCTCCTCTGCTGCTGGTTGGGCCCTGGGGTGACAGGGAGGCTATGTGTGTACGAGGTGTAATTAATTAGCTTCCAGGGTGGAAGGCAACAGCCTGTACCAAGACTCATTCTTAGAAACTGGGGTTCCAGCTCCTGCTTCTTACCCGGACTTTTCTTTGGTGTGGTAAAATCTATAGAATAAAATTTACCGTCTTAACCATTTTTAAGTGTATGGTTCAGCGGCATTAAGTTCATCATATTGTTAGGCAAGCAACACCACCATCCATCTCCAGATTGAAGTCTTTTCAATCTTGTGTAAGTGAAACTCTGTCCCCATTAAACACTAACTCTCCAGTATCCCACCCCACCCAGCTCCTGGCAACCACCCTTCTGCTTTCTGTCTCTGTGAATTTGGCTACTCTAGGGACCTCATCCAAATGGAATCATGTAGTAGTTATCCTTCTATAACTGGCTTATTTCACTTAGCATGATGTCCTCAAGGTTCATCCATGTTATAGCACGTGTCAGAATTTCCTTACCTTTTTTTGTTGTTGTTGAGGAAGATTGGCCCTGAGCTAACATCTGTTGCCAATCTTCCTCTATTTTGTATGTGGGACACCACAACAACATGGCTTGATGAGCAGTGTGCAGGTCCATGCCTGGGATCTGAACCCACAAACCCAAGGCTGCCAAAGCAGAGCATGTGAACTTAACCACAATGCCACTGGGCTGGCCCATACACTGACTTTTTTCCACTCCTTTATCTGCAGCTCCTTTATGAACAGGGCATCAGCCTCAGGGCCTCCTTCCTCTTCTTCTCTGTCTTCAGTGTCTGGCATGTTGGGCGCACTTTCCTCCTGCTGCCCCGGGGGCACATCCCCTACCCGCTGCCCCCCAACGACCGCTATGGGTAAGCACTATGACCTAGCGATTGTGGGCCAGAGCCCCCCATGTGACCTAGGACGGAAGCAGGGGATGGGAAAGTCGTGGTCACAGTAGGGCAGAGGAAACCTGTCACAGGAGAGGAAGACCAGCATGGGTGTGTCAGCTGGCAATTGCTGCATAACAGACTACCCCAGAACTCAGTGGCCTGAAACCTTAAGCATTTATTATTTTTCCTGTGTCTGTGGGTAGCTGAAGAGTTCTACTGATCAGGGACAGACTTGGATGATCTTGACAGGGCTCATTCTTGCCTCTGATCATCTAATGGGCTAGCTAGGCGCTGGCTTGTCTAGGATGACCTCACTCACACGAGTTTTATTCTGGAGGTCATTGGGGGTGACAGGGATGTCTGGGACACCTGGCTCTCATCCTCCGGCAGGCTGGCTTGGGCTTGTCCATGTGGTGCTTCCAGGGTTCCAAGAGAGAGAGTGCAAAAATGCACAAGCTCTCTTAAAGTTCAGGGCTGGAATGAGCACAGCATGATTTCTCTTGCATTCTCTTGGCTGAGGCAGCTCACATGGCTCAGTGAAGATTCAGGGGATGGGGAAATAGTCAGAGCTGCAAAATTCCATTGCAAAGCGTGGAGAACAGAGGAAGTGAAGAAATGTGACCCTTTTTGCAGCTCTTCCCCACAAGCAGTAGAGGGAGAGCTTTCATTTGCTGCTCACTTACTATCTGCCAGATCCCACGTGCTCTCTGATTTCGTCTCACCATGATCCTCTCAGATAGATGGGCTTATCTCCATTTTCCAAATGAGAAAAATGGGGCTCGGAAGGGTTATGTCTGAGCCATGTTGCCACAGCCAGGAAGAACAAGAGCTAGGATGTGAACTCAGCCTCTCCTACTCTTCCCACGCCTCCAGTGGTTCCCAAACTTTGCTGGGTATCAGAATCACAGAATCACTCAGAGATCTTCAAAAAATCTGGAAGTCTGGCTGCCACTCCCAGACACTTTGATTTAAATGGTCTGGCTGTGACTTGGGCTTCGGGGTTGTTAAGAGGTGATTTCACTGTGCTGTGAAATGGGGGATCCTCTGCACTATTCCCTTCAGCCTGAGACTCAGGCTCAGCTCACAGCCCTTGGGCTGGGCTGAGGGGACTTCTGTTTCCACAGCCTGTGCTCTGGGAAGGACAGCAGGGAGGAGGAGCAGAAGACAGTGGAGTCCAAAGAGCTGGAGGGACAGTCGGAGTTCGTTTCGCCAAAGGAAGGTGAGCCCTGCTGGTGAACCCAGTTCCCTTCAGAACCTGGTCTTCGTGGCGGCCGACCTGGTCCCTCACCTCCAGAGCTCCCCTAGAGACTCAGTCAGGAAAGGTCAGGTGGAGAAAGGACCTGTGGGGTCTTCTCGACCCCCTCACTTTATAGAGGGTCCAGACAGGGGCAAGACTTTTGTTTCTTTTCTCCTTTCTGTCCCTCTCTTCTTTCTCTCATGTCATTATCACACTACCCCCTGAATTCCATCTTCCATCATTTTCCTTCCTGTCCCCCGACTCTTCAGTCCTAAGTCTGCCTTATTTGTCCCCATTTCTGCAGGTCTCCTGGGTCTGCCCTCTCACTGTTCCATTTCCATCACCGCCTCTGTTGCCTCCTCATCTCTTTGGGTCTTTGGTTACAAACATCACAATCCCTGCTGGCTGAATTAGAAACAGGAACAGGATTCTGGGAAGCTCACAGAATCAAGGGAAAAATGAACTTTCCAGGCTCCAGGATGAGCAGGACCAGATTACGCCTGGGGGTCCCAGTCGAAAGTCACAGCCAGTCTGCCTCTCTAGGGAGAACGATCGGATTGGGCCACCCTGGCTGAGGAACAGAATGCTTAATTCACAGGCCCATCTGGACCATGAGGAAAAGGGCAGGGGAAGATTTCCAGAGGAAACCAGGATCCTGGTACCAAAAGAGAGGGGATGCAGAGCAGCTGAGACAACAGCTGTCAGCCACTAACCCACATCTCATGTCTAACTTTCTCCTCTCCATGTCTTTTTTTCCACCATCCTGGCTGAGAAAGATCAGGAAAGTGTTAGTGCAAGAAGTGTCATTGAAATCAGACTGTGAAAGACAGATCAGATTTCAGTCGATGAGAAGAACATGGGGAAGGTCATTCAAGGTGGTAGGGCCAGAATGACCAAGGCGTAGAGGTGAGCATGTGCCACTTGCGGGCAGCTCAGAGAGCACGCTGGATGAGTTCTGGGAGGTAAGAATACAAGGTGAACGTGGACCTCAAACTGTTCCATTAAGGCCTCTACACTGTTGTTCACCCCAGTGTTCCACTTTCCTTGTAATTCATGCTCAGATCCTCCTTTCTCCATCAGAGTTTCCAGATCCAGGGCAGCAGAAGGAGCTCCACTCTTTCTGGAGCTACGCTTTCTCGCGGCGCTTTGCCTGGCACCTGATGTGGCTGTCTATGATACAATTGTGGCATTACCTCTTTATCGGCACCCTCAACTCTCTACTCACCACTTTGGCCAAGGGAGACAGGGCACTAGGTATGTGGCGGGGCTGGGAGGCATCCCATCTGTGCATCCCAGTTGGGGACTTGGAACCTCGAGCGGTGCGGGGTGCTAAGCCCAGTAGGGCTATGTGCTCCAGAGAAAGGTCTGAGCAGGGATGTGGGGAGGATGGTCGGTCAGGGCAGGGTGGGAGGGTCCCCTCCTGTAAGGCAGTCCTGGAAATTTCTTATCTCTTAATGCTTCTCTGCTCTCTGCAGTCAGCATCTACACAAATGCCTTTGCCATCACTCAGTTCTTTGGAGTGCTCTGTGCCCCCTGGAATGGCCTGCTCATGGACCAGCTTAAACAGAGGTACCAGAAGAAAGGGAGCAAGACAGGTGAGACCTGGGCTCGGGAGCATCAGGGAACCAGGAGAGGAGAGATCATTTATCTTCATGCCCATCTTCTCTTTTGTTCTTAATCTTTTTCTACTTGCATCCATCCGTCTATCCCTCCATTCATCCACCCATCCATCCATCTGTCTGTCTAACCACTAGTCGCTGAGTGCCAGTTATGGGCCATACGTAGTCCAGATTCAGCAACGGACAAGACAGATATGTCCTTGTCCTCAGTCTAGAGAGTGGAGAAAGACAAGTCATTAGGCATTACAATCCATGAAGTAAACCCACAGGGGGCTGTGGGGACACAATAAGGGCACATAACATGTTCCAGATGAGGACGAGATCGGTGTATGGGAAGGCTTCCTGGAGAAAGTGTCATCTAAGCTGAAACCTGAAGGATGAGTCAGAAGTGAGGAGATGAAGAGGAGGGCCCTGGGAGAGTGGCCCAAGAATACGGTGGGCTCAAGGTTGTGAAGGAGAGAGGGAAACGTTGAGGACTCCGAGGACTCCCTTAAAGGGATTCAATGACTGGCTGGAGGTGTATTGGTTAAGCCTAGCACGCTCTGCTTCGGTGGCCCAGGTTAGTGGGTTTGGATCCCAGGTGTGGACCTACACCACTCATCAGCCCTGCTGCGGTGGCGACCCACATGCAAAATAGAGGAAGATTGGCACAGATGTTAGCTCAGGGCAAATCTTCCTCAGCAACAACTAAACAAAACAAAAAAACAGTAATTCAGGCTGGCCAGGGTACAAAGGAGTATGGAAGGGTCTGGAGAGAGAGCTGTGAGAAGGGGCAGGCTGTGCCCCATGCCGAGGAGCTTGGACAAGCTCCTTGGACATCAGTCGAGGAACAGAGGGGTGCTGAGGTATTTTAACCTGCAGGGGTTGGGGATGGGGAGGGACAAAAGTAGAGAGTAACATTTCTCCTATGACTTTCATCTACACCCCTCCCTGACTCCCCTGCCCTGCTTCTCCTACCCTGCTGGAGTGTTCTACAGCAAATCTCAGTCATCAAACCATTTCATCTGTAAATACTTCAGGTTGTAGCTCTAACAGATAAGCCCTCTTTTACTTGAATATCACCATAGTATCATTATCACATCTACAAAAACCCCTCAATGATTTCTTAATACCATCTACTATGCACTCTGCTCAAATTTCCCTAATTGTCTCAAATATGTCTTTTTACAGTTGATTTGTTCAAATTAAGAGCCACACACTATATTTGTTTGATGTGCCTTTTATGTCGTTTTAAATGTATAAGTGTCATCTCCCACATGCTTTTTGTCCTTGTTTATTTGTTGAAGAAATGGGGTGATTTGTTCTGTCACATTTCCACATTTTGGATTTGGCATCCTTTTGGTGTCATTTAAAATGTTTCTTTGGGTATTTCCTGTAAACACACAGGTTGGAAGCTCAAGGAGCCTCAGTTTAATAGTTTTGGCAAGAGTAATTCAGAGGTGGAGCTGTGGGCTTCCTAAGGGCTCCCGTCAGCAGGCCCCTGGTACCTATTGTCCTGTTCTTATCATGTTAAGATTGATCAATGGGCTAAGACATTGTCAGTCTCATCCACTTATTACAAAGTTTCCCATCGACTGTGCGTCTGATGATTGTAGCAGCCGTTGATGATCAATGCCTAGACCCATTAGTTTACTAGGGTTGCCAACTCGTGATTTCCTGTTTCCATCTTTCCTTCTGCTTTCAACAGCGAGAATTCCTTTAGAAAGAAAAACTTCCCCTTATTAACTATTTTGTTACCCTGGCATAAATGCTTGGTTTTTCTTCTTTTTACCAGTTTTGAGAATAATGAAGTGATGCCCTAGCAACCTCCAGGGGTGACTACTCATTGTTTCTCTTTCAAAGTCTCATTTTAAATGTACTTGATGTGTTTCAATCCATTTTCACCATGATTCTTTTTGATGTTCAAATCGTCACATCTTTGGCCATTGGGAACTTTACCAATCCAGTATCTGTGTCCTTTAGACATCATCCTGTTAGTTTTAGAGAGTGTCTTTACTTTCTAGCACAATGAGACGTTGACGTCCATCTGGTCAGGTATGTTTCCTATCCCAGACCTGAAACCAGCCGTTTCTCCAAGTAACCCTGGGTCCCTTTAATGGGAAATGGTATTTAAAGACTGTAGTCTGGATGCTAGCATTTCTAATTCTCCTGGGTTATCATTGCTTTTGGGCTTTGGATAGAATTAAAGCGTACATAATTTTTTGGAAGAAAAAATATATCATGAATGCCTAATAATGATACTTTAATTCAAATTTTACTTCCTTAATTTTACATTCGTATCTCTTTTTCTCTTCCTCTGAAAATCTTGGTTCCTAACAATACTATACAGACACACACATGTAAAGTATTTTAAAAATATGTTTTATATATTGTCACTAGTTTTAGCAATATCGATATTATTAATAACAATACTGTTGCTGAATGCTGTGCTTCTCTCTCTCTGTCCTTCCGTCCTTCCTTCCATTCTCCTCCTTAGCATATATCCCACAAGAGGATGTACAGTCAAATTAATGTTTTAAGAAACACCAACTTGACATAAAGTTTTGTTCATTGGTTTCATTTCGTTCCTGATTTTGGAGGATTGCTTTGCTTGTTCTCTTCCTATTATTTTAATTTAATTGAATTTTTAAACATTTGTATATCAAATATTTACATTTTCCCAAAGCCAAAAGCATGAAACAGTATACATTGAAAGAAGTTTAGATTTCCTCTCTGTTCCCTGCACCCTGTTCATTCACTCTGTCTTTACGCAATGATCTTTTTCTTAAAGACAGACTATATAGACAAGATTTCGCTTTCAGATAAAGGCCACATACTGCACGTGCTGTTCTGCAGTCTTCCTGCTGTGTGACTCTCTGTCCCGATGATGCTCCCCAGCAGGGCCTTCTCCTCACTCCTCTCATGCTGCCTAGTCATCCGAGACGGGGCTGTAGTACAGCCAAGACAGCTGTCCCTCCGGATGCCTGTTTGGATCGCCCCTATCTTTTGTTAGTACCTGTCATGCTACACAGACTGCCTGGCTACAGGTTGCAGGGACCAGAGCAGGAGGCCCTCTTAGGAGGCCATTGCAACTGTGTAATCTGTGAGTGAGTGATGGTGGTTTAAAAGTAGGATGAGTTGGTGGGGATGGAGAAGAGTGGATACATTTGAATGATAATTAGGAGGTGGATCATCAACATTCATTGATGGACTGGAGATGGGGCATGTGGGAGAAAGAGGATTCGAGGATGACCCCCTGGGTTTCTGCCTGGAAAGTTAGACGGATGGTGGTTCCTCCCTTTACCCAGATCTCTCTTGCCTCCTTCCTGCCCTCCATTGTGTCCGCCTCCAGGCAGCCTCTCCTCTTTACTTTTGGACCAGGTTTCTCAGCCTCGGCGGTGGCCCTTTGTTCCACGGTTCCTTCTCTGGCGCTGACGTCTCTGCTGTGCCTGGGCTTCGCCCTCTGTGCCTCAGTCCCTGTCCTCCCCCTCCAGTACGTCACCTTCATCCTGCAAGTGATCAGCCGCTCCTTCCTCTATGGGGGCAATGCTGCCTTCCTGACCCTTGCGTAAGTGGGCTTGGGGTGCGTTACATAATGGGGGACACACGGGGCAAAGGGAAGTGTGCTGGAGGTACAGAAATTGGGAGGTGAGGATGGGCCTGACATGGTGAGGTGATGGTGACAGGGCCTGGGAGCAGGCGTAGGGGTGGTGCCTGGAGGTGAGGCTGGCCGGAGGAGTAGAGTTTTCATGTACTTGAGCCTTCATATCAGCTCTCCCTCTGCCTCTGTTCTCTACCTGGTGAATGCATATTCACCCTCCGAGGTCCACTTCTGTTCCAACACTCCCAGGGAAGAGCTGGAAAGTGTCTTCTCTTATTTGTGCCCTGGGCACTCTATTCTTGCTGCCTTTGATGGTGCGCACATCATCTGGCATATAGTGATGTGTTTTTGTTTTCATCTTTTTCTTGCAACTTCCCTGGGGTGCAGCGTGTGTCTGGGTCCCTGCTGTTTTCCCACTGTCAAGCACAATAACTTCTCTGTGTTCTGTGGTTTGAAAGCCTGACCAAAGGCAAAGGGGAGTGGGCTGTATGGGTGAGGGTGGGTGAAGGCAGGCCGAGGACAGGGGAGTTGTGAGCAAGTACCTGACGAAGGCCCACCCAGATCAGGCCCTGCCTGGAGGGAGGGTCCCTGAGTCTCACTGGAACCCCATTTGTCTCTCTCCCAGTTTCCCTCCGGAACACTTTGGGAAGATCTTTGGGCTAGTGATGGCCTTGTCAGCCATTGTGTCTCTGCTCCAGTTCCCCATCTTCACCTTCATCAAGGGCCCCCTCCAGAATGACCCGTTCTACGTGAGTGTTGGGGGCCTCAGACCACCACGGACATCCGGATCTGGGTGACTCAATGGGCACCCAGCAGGGGGCGCCCCAAATCTGGCTGAGGTATTTCCTGCAGGAACATTGCTGCACACGGGTACATCCGTGGGCTTTCTTCTCAAACTAGGGTCATTGGGAGCACCCTGCCTTGTGCTGTGTGTACCTAAAACCACAGGGCTATCATGGGGTGGCTGCCCAGGGGGCCTACGTGCTTCAGAGATTTGGGGAGAAAATATTTTTTTATGTGTGTGGAGACAAGTAATCATATTCTAGAGGAGATCGCAAAATCCTCACAATGATTCATGAAAACCTAAGACTTCAAAGATATTTCCTGCTTGTGATGAGCACAGGCGGACCTTGGAATCGGCCCTAGGGATGTAACGTGCATTGGATTACACAGCTGATCTGAGTGGCAGGAGCTCTGTGCTCTCACCTCTGCATGCCCACACCGCCAGGGATGCTCAACCGCCCAGCGCTGGGAGGTGGGCGTGACGATCCAGCTGTTTGAACTAGAAGAAACAGAGGCTCAAAGATTTGGGTTGTGTAACTTGTATGTTCAGAAGCCCACAGCAAAGGAGCAGAAGTCCTTTGACTTTGAATTCAGTGTTCTGACCACTGCACAGCCCTTTAGCCTCATTTTGAAAAGATCAGCAAAGTGTAGAACAGGAGTTTAAATCAGTAATTGGGAGAAAAAAAAAAAAAGCCCTGAACTGAAAGACTGAGGAGAATTACTTGGTTGTGATATCGGAGCACCCTAACTGAATATTCAGAAGATATAATGCAGCTCTGGTCCCTCCGTCAGCTTCCTGTGTGACCCTGAGCTGGTCACTGAATACCGCCTGGGCCTCTCTTTCTTCCTCCATGAAATGGGCACAATATCCCTCCCTACCTGGCTCCGCAGGTCAGAATGAAAAGTAACGCACAGTCCTTCCTCCAGGCTACCAGAGTGTCTGAGTGAAAAGTGGAAGATAAACTAGGCGGAATTCTGGTCCCCTCATTGGTCGTGGGCATTGCTCAGAGTTCCTGGACTTCACCTCACTGCTTCCTGTCTCCCTCCAGGTGAACGTGATGCTGGTGCTCCTCACTCTTCGGACGTTCATCCACCCCTTCCTGGTGTACCGAGAGTGCCAGCGGAAGGAAGGCCCCCCTTTAATCGCTTAGTTCGGGAGCCCTCCCTTTTCCGCTCTGCAGATGCTTTTGCTAATCTTCCCCTACCTTTGAGGACCTCGTATCCAGAAAGTCTTTGCTCACTCAGGCTTCTTGTATTAAGCAGAAATTACTTTTTCTTAAAAAAAAGAAGAAACGTAACTGCTAGCTGAGACTTCTGATAGGCAGGACAAGAATGTCAATGCCAAGCTGATTGATACCATACAGATCCAAAGCAAAAGCTTGTGAAAGTTCTCCTTAGTCCCAGAGCAGGAAGCACATGGCCTTGGCAGATCCTTGACCCGAAGGGAGGTGATGTGATGGGAGAGGAGGTGTGTCACCTGCTTCTCTAGGCCTCTTTGGCCCTGAAGCCCATGTGTGCCTGGACCCTGTACCGCCAGGTAAATTTCCAGGTGGAGGGTGAGGTTGTCATGGCCTCAGCTACGCCCCCTGGCATTTGGAGGTGGTGCCCAGCTCTCCCTCAAAGGCACAGCCTTGGTTAGAGAGTGGCAGCGACAAAGGCTTGGTTAGAGAGTCTTGGGAGAAAGAGGAGAGACGGGGTGGGGTGGGGAGGCCCCTGGACCTGAGATCCAGCTCTGCCACTGTTGCTGGAGGCCCTTGAGCAGACCCTCCTCTGGGCTGAGCATCAGTTTTCCCATCTGTAAAATGAGAGGGTTCTGGAGTTGGAGGTTATTTCTGAAGCTAACGTTCTAGAAGGATTTAAGAGGAGTGGCAGAGAATCAGGCCACCCAGAGAGCCTTGGGCACCAGCTGGCCTGCTCGACTGAAGGATTTCTGACAAAGCCTCTTAGGGATGTTTTCCTCAACAAGAAGGGAGATGATGATTGACTTTGGGAATTATATAAAAATGTTCTTGGGAGAAGAATTTTGCAGAACAATCATTTCTTTCTGCTTAAGGCAACTACTGTTTCACCTCTTCAGCTTTGGGGATGTTGTGTGTGTGTGTGTGTGTTCCTCCCTCATGCCCCAGCTTCCTGGGGAGTGGACACAGCAGTGGAGTCGAGGAATCTGGCTTCAGCAACCTGATGTGGCAGCTGGACCCAGAGTGGGGTAGGAGCCTTCAGACTGGTATCCAGCTACCTGGTTCTAGGATGGGCTTGAGAAGCCCCTCCACCTCTGCACCCTCACCCCCTCCCAGGAGTCCCTTCCTTTGCCTCCTCTTCCTCTGTACCCCATCCTACTCCCACCAAATACTCCCCACCCCCAGCTGGAAGCACTAGATGGAATCAGAAGGGGCCCGGGTGAGTCTCAGTTCTGCCATCCAGCATCTGGGCAAGTCCTTTAACCATTCTGGATCACAACTTCCTCACCTGCAAAAAGCAATGAATCATTTCTATCCCTGAGGGCGACAGTGAGAATTTAACATAATTGCTACTGGGTAGCCTGTGGTGGGAGCAGGTGCACATTTGTTCCTTCATTTACTCATGACCAGAAAGGAAAGGGGTAGCAAGGAGGGAGAAGGGGAGGGACCTGGAGGGAGAGAGATGGTAGGTGGGTGAGATGGGACAATCTGGAATACACCAGGTGTTTTCTTCCACTTAGCCCGGAGACGGGCCAGGAGAGACTAGTGAGGGGGGAGGGGGCTGGCAGGCAGATTCATTCATCCAATCAGTCTGTCAATCAACAAATGTTTATGGAGCCTCTACAATGCATCAGGCACTGTCCTAGGTGCTGGGGATACAGAGATACACAAAGGGCTGAAACACAGCTCTTCTGTGAACAGCAGGAAGGGTAATTTCCAGGGGCCTGTGGACATCAGAGTGCTCATGAATGGCTTTCATCTTGGCTTGCTCCAAAACTTTCCATGGCTTCCTGCTGTCCATGGGGCAAAGCTCAGACTCCAGCCTGGCACTCACAGCTCTCAACAATGTGATTCCAACCACTCCCCTACCTTCCCCACCCTCTTCACTTCCCACCTCCAGGAGGACAGAATTCATTCTTGTGGACCAAGGTTCCTGGTCTGGGTGTCTGTGAGCACACCAGTTCCTCTGCGTGGTGGCTCCTCCCATCTCTGCTGGGGAAATTTGCCTGGTCTACTGGGGTCCTGTTCAAAATGCCATCTTCTCTAAAAATCTTTCCTTGGGCTCTCCAACAGCTCTGAGTTCTCGGCACTTGGCCACACCCTTTTTGGTGACTGGCACCTGCCTCTTTGCCTGATGACCTCTTCTCACCTGGACAGCCGACTCCAGGAGGCGGCATATGGGTCTTACCTGGCTCAGTGACTAATGCGTGCTTGCTGTCCACGTGGTGCTGGTTAGGGCTCGTTGAATGAATGATCACTGAATGAGTGAATTCTTTCTTGTTCTGGCCTCAGTGCCAACTGGAAGGAGAGAGCAGAGCACATGGGGGTGGGATGGGGCAGTGGGAAGAAGATGGCTTGGGGGGCCAGGCCAACCCTTTTTTCATCCCGGCTCTGTCACTAGTGTGACCTTGGATGGGCCACTTCACCTCTACATCTCAGTTTCTTTATCAGTATAAAGGGAGAAATAGACCTGCCCTCTGGACTGTTGCAAGGATTAGAAATTAGGTCAAGTGCCTAGCACATGGTAGGTACTCAACAGATGATAGCTATGATTGCAGTTAACATATTAAGTCAAAAAGGATGCCTAATGCCCATCAACTGGTGAATGGATAAATCAAATGTAGTACATTTATACAATGGAATATTATATGGCAATGAAAAGGAATGAGGTATTGACACAGGCTACGACGTGGATGAACCTTGAAAACAGTATGCTAAGTGAAAGATGCCAGTCGCTAGAGACTGCATACAGTGTGACTCCATTTATATGAAATGCCCAGATGAGGAAACTCTCTAGAAGCAGAAAGTAGATTAGTGATTGCCTAGAGCTGGGCAAGGTGGTAGTGAGTGCTAATGGGTAAGGGGTTCTTTTTAGGGTGATGAAAATTTTCTAAAATTGATAGTGATTGCGCAATTCTGAATAGACTAAAAGCCATTTAATTTTATACACTTTAAATGGGTGACTTGTATGTGAATATATCTCCATAAAGCTGATACTAAAAAAAGATGTCTGGAAAATTGCCGTAATCTTAAAGGTATAGAAAAAATCAATATATTTTCCTTGAGTTATAGTCTCAGAATTAGAATGGGATATTTTAAAATCATTGCGGTGCATTTAAATGCATTGAATTTAAATCAGAATTACCATTTTTTTGGAAAAGTTTCATTGGATTGAAAAAGATAAAAAATTGTGTTAAAAACTTGAAAAAAGGAAAAAGATGTCTGGATTCCTCAGCAAGTGCAGGAAACACTTGGATTCAGAGAGAGAGAACCACAGCTGTGTGCACAGCTGCCTCTTTCTGCCCCAAGAGCCCCTTGCTGCAACTTCTTCCTCAGATGGGACCAATTGCTCTTTTAAATGAGGAAGCAAGCAACAGGGGTTTCACAAGTTTTGGGTTCCTGGTGCAACCCTCCTCTCCAGCTCCAGCCTCAGCAGAGAGGAACTGGAGACAAGTCTTCCTCTCCACAGGCTGTGTGTCCGGGCGGGGCCTCTCCTGGGGCAGAGGACACTTCCATGAGGACCAGAGTGCCTGCCGTTTAAAGAACAGCTGGACAAGTAGAATAAAATAAACAACAGCTGACAGCCGGAATCAGGAACTCTGTGTGACAATCTCCTTTCACCTGCCGCATTTTACAGATGAGGAGAGTTAGGCTCTGAGCAGCAAGTTATGTCCAAGAGCATCTTCTGGCGCGTTGTGGAGCTGGCGTTTAGACCCAGATTTGTCTGTCTCCTAAGGTCACGTTCATTTTAGGTGTTACCTTCTCTTTACATTCATTCTTACGTCAGAAAACATGTGGTGGTTGTAAAAGAAGTCAGAAAACAAAGAAGTACATGAAAAACAAATATCATTGTTAACTGCACTGCTCAGACATGACCATGGTTAACTCCTTGGTATGTACGCCTCTCTTCATGTGACTATGTGTGTGATAAGGGAAAGGATCTCATAGACTTTTCTTTGTCATCAAATAGTCGTCCAAAACGTGATTGTAAGTGGCTGCTTACAAGCCCATCTTAGGTCGATGTCACATTTTATTTATCCCCCACCCACCCCGTCCTGGGGGCTCCCCTCACTCACATCTTGGGACATTGGGCCCGCCCCATTCTGTTCCCCCTCTGCTGCCTCAGCTGGCGTCGGGGCTGCCTCCTGACAGGGAAACGTGAGCGCAGCCTAGGTCAGCACACTGGAGAGTGTGCCTAATAGTTGAACTCAGGGGGCCAGATGTTGCCAGAGAGCCACCTTTGGAGCTTCTAGAGATGACGTCCATCCATTCATCATCATGTGTGAATCTGGTGCTAGCTGTTGTTCAGCCAAATGTGTTGGCTGCCCGCTTCCCAGGTGCTGTCGACCCTCTTCCCTAAATTTAAAGCTTGGGGCAAAGACCCCAGTGGTTCTTCCTGGAGCTCCTCTTCCTGCCAGACCCCCAGCGGATAGATGATCCCCAAATGTGCTGGGTGTGACTCCAGGGCACAGAGAGGATGCCTCCTCTAACATTCTTTGGAAAAGACACTGCATCCAGGTATCAAGGCACGGGCTCCTATCCGTCCGTTCTTTGGCGATGACAATTTCCTGGCTGGGACATGTCTGACCCCTCCTGGGCACACTGCAACCCACGTCTCTCTGCACAATGGGGCTGACTTACTGGCAGGTTCATTAAAACCAGGGCCACAGCTTGTGGTCTCACCAGCCCCCACTCCAGGGGTTTTGATTTCTTTTTTCTAAACTCACGCATGTGCTTATCGGCCTCTCAGCATTCTGTTTCCTGAGTCCACTGTTCCCTCCCAGGCCTGAAGGTGGACTCAAGCAGTAGGTGCATGAGAAAGCCTCTGGGCTTTGCAAGCGCTGGCCAGCTGTGTGACCTTGAAGAAACCCTTAATCATGTGGAGCCTCAGTTTCCTCCCCTGTAACGGAGAAAATAAGTACCACTGGGACTCGTAGGGAGGACTAGAGAGAACATTTGGGAATAATAGGTGG